TACCTGCCTCATCTGCAGGTAGGAGATTCCGCTCCATTTTGCAGATGGGGAAACCAAGGCTCAGAGGGAGGAAGTGATGGGCACAAGGTCACAGCTATATTGCAGCAGAGCCAGGATATGAATGTGGATCAGGCCCCTTAAGGCCACCTGATTTCTCTGGAAAGAACGTTAAGTTAAATAATGAGATTTTGGTTATAGATTTGGCCCACAGCAAGTGCATCATGAACATTCGTTGGACGCATGAATGTATGAACAAACTCTGTGTGTCCTCAGGTAATTTACCTCACACAGTCACAAAGTGTGCACTCACATACGCAGACCCCAGCTTCAGTTTCCTCGTATTAAAACTGGATCCTATACTTTACTCATTTATATTACCTTCTTGGCCCCCCTGCATATTTGAGCTTGTGACTTCTGGAATGCAGATCAACTTTTATGAACCCAGAATTGGGATAATTTTTAGTGATTTGCAGTTCTGTATTATAAACTCTCACTGTTCAAAGTGTGGTTTGTGTAGTACAAGCCCAGCATCAGCATCACCTGGGAGCTTCCTCAACCTACAGTCTGCCGTTTAGCAAGATCCCCAGGTGAATCCTATGCACATTTAGTCCAGGTGCATGGTCTCTACTATCCACTTTCTCCCTTCGTACCTTATTATAAGTAAGTATTCTTTTTGTGATTATTTGTTTGCCATCCATCTCCCCTGCTAGATGGGAGGCTCCTTAAGGGCAGGGACCCTGACTGCTTTTGCTCAGTAGTGTAACCCAGTTCCAAGTACACGCATGGCACACGGTAGGTAATGAATGGATGAATGAATGAGCTCATCCCAGAGACTGCTGCCATCCGCTTAGCTAATCCTTCTCCCCTCACCCCTGGGAAGCTGGGAAGGAAGAGGAGGCTTAGCATTTTACATACAGAAGCAATGGAGGAGTCTCTCTGCCCTCCCCACCTGAGAGCTGGTTGTCTCATTTCCTGAGCCAGCCACATCCCCTGAGACACATGGTGAAGCTTGGAGTAAACAGATTTGGCCATGGTGGGTGCCAGGTGACAAGGGCTATGTTCATCACTAGCAAAGTGGCTCCAAGTTGTCATCAGTGCCTCCTCCATTGACCTCAACCTTGTGGCCTACGTGTTCCAGCGTGAGTCCATAACAGCAAGTTCAATGACGCCAACAAGGCTGAAAACAGGAAGATGAGATCCATGGGAAGTCCATCTCCATCTGCCAGGCAGCAGATCCCCCCAGGTATCAAAGAGTTCAGCTGCTTCTGAACGTGGTGCTTGTGGCTCACCTGGAGGGTGGCGCCAAAGGGTCACCCCTTTGTGTTAAGGAAACTGCTAATCTCCTCTTTACAAAAAGAGGAAGTGGTTGAAGTCATCTTTTTAAATGAATTTATTTCATGCTGCCTGCCCCTTGTGCTGAGAGCCCACGAGAAGTATGGCCACTCCCTCTAGATTGCCAGCATGCCATCTGCTTGTCCCCCCCAGCAGGGTGTGTGACAACTGTGGCACCATGGAGGGACTCAGGACCATCGTCCACTCCCTCTCAACTTCGGCAAGCTGTGGTGCGATGGCCAGAGCACTGTCCAGAGTGTCATCCCTGCATCCAGTGGCACTGCCAAGACTATGGCAAGGTCATTCCTGAGCTGAACGGGAAACTCACTGGCTTGGCCTCCCAGGTCTCCACCCTGAGTGTGTCTGTCCAGGATCCCACCTGCCATCTGGAAAGAGTTAGGTGGCATCAAGAAAGAGGTGAAGCGGGCACCTGGAGGGTCACTGAAAGGCATCTGGACCACACTGAGGACCAGGTTGTCTCCCGGGACTATGACAGTGATGCCCACAGCTCCACCTGTCACACTGGAGTTGGTGTTGTCCACACAACCTCTTTGTCAAGCCCACTTCCTAGCACAATGATAATGTTTATCTACTCTGACTGCAGGGAGGCTCCTGGTCACGACCTCCAAGGACTAATAGTCCTGGACCATGAGCAACAGCAGGAGGAAGAACAGTTCTCTGCTCCTGGGAGTCTCTGTCCCATCTCTGTGCCAAAGCACTGAGAATGTGCATCCTTGACATGGTCGCATGCCCGGCCCCTGACGGAGGGAAGGAGCTTAGAGGCCCTGCCTTATCTTGTACATCAGGATAATCGATGAAGCCTACACCATCCTTACCAAGGGAGAAAGGGAAAGAGGAAGGAAGGAAGGAAGGGAGAAAGGAAGAGAGAAAGGAGATCATTCCATGTATGTAATACACTCATTTTTCAATCTCGCAATTCCCCCAAGTGTCCCGGGATGGAAAGGTTGCACGTGATACCAGTAGAAAACAGGTAATAGCCTGTGTTTTTCAAAAATCACACAGTCTGCAAAAGCAGTCTCTTTGCACTTATGAATGCCTACTTCTCCCTTGCACCAACTGCCTGGGGTTGCTGGGGTGGAAAGGGAGAATGTCACAGCAGGAGAGGGAGGCCTGCCCTTGATGGGAAGGCAGGTTGCTCAAGATTCAGAGGAACAGGGTTGAGGTGAGGAAAAGAAGCCAGGGTGAGGCAGACACGCGAATCCTGCCACAGAGGTTGGGAAAAATGATGCTTGCTTCACATTCGTGGAATGCCAAGTTCATTGGAGCCCATAGGAATATTGTTTCCATAGATTTTGAGTTTTATGAATAATTGCATATTTATTAAAGAAAATATTTAAAATGTTTAATTCAGTAGTTTATGTATTACTAAATGCACTCAAGTCATGGGCTTTTTCCGAATGAGACAGTTCATTCTCTAGTCCCGGGGGAGGCTGAGTAGGGGCCCTGCAGGAGGCCCTGCCCAGGGGAGCAAACCCAGAGGAGGGAAATTAGCACTGAGTGAGCACCTTCTGTGTGTCAGGGCTTTCCTTGGCATTAGACCCCTGCTATTCTGACCTTTTTTTTTTTTACTGTGATACATGATAAATATGTTTTTACATTGCCATTCAGTGCACACACACACACACACACACACACACACACATCTATACCTTGAACAAAAGTTTCACACAGTTCCTTCTTACTATGGGCAATACACAATGATATTGTCTATTCTGTTTTTTAATTCTAGTAGTCGCTCTCTAAACACATGATAAATATGTTTTTACATTGCCATTCAGTGCACACACACACACACACACACACACACATCTATACCTTGAACAAAAGTTTCACACGGTTCCTTCTTACTATGGGCAATACACAATGATATTGTCTATTCTGTTTTTTAATTCTAGTAGTCGCTCTCTAAACAGACTTCAGGACCCCCAGCCCAGGAGTTTGGGACTCGAGCAGAATGTGACTAAGCCAGGGAGGTTATTAAAGGCATCAACTCTGGACTCAAATAGCCCTTGGGTTCAAGTCCTGGTTCCCTTGCTCACGGGCTGTGTGGCTGGAGCAAGGCACCGGACCTCTGGAGCTCAGTCTGTTCATCTGTACAGTGAGGGTGGCAGCATTGCCTGCCTGGCGGCGCTGCTGCGAGCACTAAACGAGATCATGTACAGAAGCGGCTAACGTGGGGCCTGGCACCGAATCAACTTCTAAGTGAATGCTAGTTGCTGTTATGATGACGACTGTCATGGTCGGCTGTAGTGTCGTGGTTGAGAAGATAAAGTCCCGAGCCAGACCACCTGGGTTCAGATCACAGATCCACCCCTCCCAATCCTTGTGGCCCTGGCTGAGTTACTTAAACTGTCTACGCCCCCAGCTCTTCATGGGGGGATGTGAACAGAACCCTTCCCAGAGAGTGATTATGAGGATTAAAATAAGTAATCCAGGAAAGTATTCGGAAGAGAGCTTGGCACGTAGCAAGCGCCAGGTGAATGGTGGTGATCACCATCATCATCATCTCATTTAATCCTCACACACCCTTGTGAGATAAAAGTTTCTATCCCTATTGTACAGGGGAACCCTGAGGCCCAGAGATCCAGACAACCTGCCCAGAGTCTCATAGCTGGGAAGTGCTAGCATCGGGAGTACAGTTGGTTGACTGAGCCTCCAGCTCAGGGGCTGAGACAGGCTTAGAGCTCTGGGGCCTTAGGGCACAAGGACACCCCAGCCACCTCCCTACATAACAGGGAGTGTGAACTGGCAGGTTGGTGCACATTGTCCCCTTCAGTACACAGATTATCTGGAATTTGTCCAGGACTCCACAGGGAGGACATTGAGTTGTGTTGTTAAAGATGATGGAGCACAAAAACTCTCCCCAGCGAACTGCCCATTTGTAAAATTACCCTCTGGCAAACATCTCTCCCAGCTTAATCCTATCACCTTTCCCTGCCTGCGTATTGTGTCACACCCATGGTTGGATGTCATGTGTCCAGTGATGTGGTGTAAGGCACTTGCACCAGGAGCTCAAGCCTCCGCATCGCCCTGCTCCACCACCCTGGGTGCCTAGAAGATGACCCGAGATGTGCCTTCCCTTAAAGGGCTGGAGCCAGCCCTACCTGAACCCCGTGGACTGGAAGTGGGGAGGGAGAGGAGGAACAGCAGGAAGGGAAATGGATGTCACGTAATCAGAGCCAGTGGTGTCCACTGTTCTAGGGTCCTCGGGATTGTTTTAGAGGCAGGGAAGAGAGTGGGTCTCTATCCAGGAGTGGAGATGACACTAGCTTGGGTTGGGTCCCAGTTGTGCTGCTGTCTGGTCATGAGACTTGGCTCAAGCACGTTCTTTCTGTCTCTTCAGCCTCATTTCTCCATCTGTACAATGGGTGGGGGGATGGATTCTACCTAATCTTTCAAGATGCTATAGAGTCTTTATATGCTGTCCTTTATTGAGTACCTGGGGACAAAATGCACCCAGAAAGGGTTCTGAACCCCTGAGAAGGAGAGCGCTAAAATGTTGCGCCTCAGATAAGCTTTTGCAGTGGAGAAGGTCCCAGAAGCACTCCTGAAGTCTCCTCCTGTGTAAGCCAGTGTCTGAAGTCGCATGTTCGGCAGAATGTCCCCCTGATGGCTAAAACCCTTGCAATATTTCCTTTTCCCTGCAGGCATCAGCAGATCAGTTCCCCTGCGTGTGTCCCGGCTCTTTGCAAGGTGAGTACCCTTGCCCGTCCCCTCCGCACGACCTCTCCCTTTTGTCCGTCTCAGAGGGCGGAGGTTAGGAGAAAGGGCTCCAGAGCCAGACCCCTGCACAGGAGTTCCAGCACCAGCACTTCCTGGCTGAGCGACCTTGAGCAAGTGACCCCACGTCCCTGGGCCTCGATCTCCCCACCTGGGAAAGGGGGACAGTCATGCTGCCTGCCCCGCGAAATGAGTGAGGACATGTAAAAATCACTTAGAATGGGGCCTGGAACCGAGTGCTCTGAGAGTGTTAGCTGGCGTTTTCTTCTTTCTTCTCTTCATTTTTTTTTCCCATTCTTTCCTTCCTTCCTGCCTTCCCTCTGCACAGACCCTCCCTCAGTGCCTCCCTCCCTCCCTTCTTCCCTGGCGTGCTCTCTTCCCCCTCCTTTCCTCTCCCTTCTTTTCTCTCTCTTCGTTCTCGCCATGTCTCCCTCTCTTCCTCTTTGTCCACCTCTCCCTCTCCTCCGTCCCCGTCTCCAGCCCTCTCTCCCTACCACCCTCTCTTTTTCTCCCTCCTCCCTCCTTTCACCCTTCCTTTCTACAACATTCATGCATCTCTCCTCGGTACCGAATCCCACACTGAGCCCTGGAGACTCAGAGATGAGTGAGACACAGTTCCTTCTCTCGGAGAGCTTCCAGTCTGGGGGGAGACAGACCCGCACATCTGAGGTCCCAACCCGGTAGCATAAATGCTGTACCATGGGCTCGGGCTGGGGCAGGGGCAGCTCAGTGGTGGACAGGGCTCAGCCGGGGCCTTGGGGAGCTGCCCTCATGGAGCTGCCAGTCTGAGCCCACCACTGCATGCAAAGCCCTGGGTTCGCCTGGCCAGGTGGCCAGCGTGCCCCTCCTCTCCCTGCCAGGCTGGGACGGTGGGCCCCTCAGCATCTGGAAATCTTCCTTCCTTACTAACGCTGGAGAAGCCGTTTGTAAGGAAGACATTTTCTTAGCCTGCCTTTCACTCCAGCAGAAGATCTGGGGGGTAGTTGGTAGCAACTAAGGACTGTTAAATCTACCTTACTGTTGAGGCCTCAGGGTTAGAGAGTTCCACCAACCTTTCTCTGGGTTTTATCTTTAGCTCCATCTAATCCGAGTCACTGAAGTTGGTTCTGATGGGAAGCAGGAGTTGATCATCTCGGGTGTGAATCGGGAACCATTTCAAATAAGGTTCTCTGCTCAGCAGGCAGTCCCGCCCCACCTGTCTGCTTCCCAGGTGCCCCACAGAGCCAGAACATGGACCGACGAAACACCTTCCTGGATTGATTCTGGCATCTCCAGCTCCAATGAGTTTCTTGTGCATTTTGGAACAAGTTCCCCCAAATAACCCTTTATCACAGTTGTAGTCAAAAAAAAAAAAAAAAGGACATGAGGACATCTGTGCATAATTCCATAACTGTTGTGTCTGTTACACCTGCCATGAGGCTTCACATGTAAGAGGAACTCTGGAACCAAACAGATTTTAACTAAAGCGATGTAATGTAACCAAAATGTACAGATTTGGGAATCTCATCAACATGTACCGGTACACATACGCCAGTTAGAGTTGTTACATACGTGATGTCAGGTTGTCCCACCTGTGGCATCTGCGGGGGAGCAGCATAGTTGGAAGAGTTAAGGGTGTGGACTCTGGAGCCAGGGTCCCAATTCTGTGTCTGCTGTGTGCTTTTGGCATGTTATCTAGTCTCTCTCTTACTCAGTTTACTCATCTGTAAAATGGGGATAGGAAAAGTAACTACCTTCAAGGATTATCACAGTTGTGAAGTTTAAATGAGCCAATCCACATAAAGTAATTAGGATAGCACATAATAGCACGATAATTGTTAGCTATTTTTATCACTAAGTGGACCTAGAAGGGACTGTTGCAGACAGTGTGATACTCAGTCAATCAAGGTGGCTGATCCTCAAATCCAGCGCATAGCGCCACACAGGACTGCAGACCCAGGCTTGCTGAAGCACCTGCCTTGGAAGAGAAGGGGGGATGATTTTGCACTGGCCAAAGAATATCTTTGGATCCATGGATGGGATATGTTTCTCCTGGGCCACCATTTTGCCTCCTTTGTGTTAGAATGACTCAACTTGACTTTGTCTATTGCTGCCTGTAGGGCTAGATGAATCCCAGACCTGTCAGAAGCAGCAAAGCTTTGTGGTTACGGGCACGGGCTCTGGAGTCAGACCCCCAAGTTTAAGTTCTACATTTACCACTTTCTAGATGTGACTTAAGCTCTTTCTCTGAGCTTTGATTTTCTCATCTCTAAAATGGCAGTTTTAAGAGCCCTTCCCCACCCCTTTACCAACTCCATTGAGTTGGTAAGAGCATCTATGAGATATAATGCGCATACCAGGCCTATGTGACACAATCCCAGCCCACAGTAAGAACACAATGATTGGGAGCAGTCGTTATATTTCAGATGCCTTAGGTAAATGGCCCTTTAAATCCTAGCCCTTTATGGAACCTGCTATTCATCATGGAATATAGGATCCATTTGTGGTCTTTGGTTGCAAGCAACAGAAACTGATTCCAGCTGATGTTAAGTCTAAGTGGACCTTTTTTTGGAAGATCTGGAGTAGCTCACAATGTAAATGAAAATGGAATAATCAGGCCTTGAGGAAGACCAAGAATAGAACAGCTTTGGGGATTAAAGCAATAGGAAGGGACTAAAAGACAGTCTTTTCAGAGCATGGCTGTTGGAATGATTTATTCATCCCAGAATTTAAATCTCCAGGGCAGAGTCTGACTGGATAATCATGCATCATTTGCCCACCCCTTAGCTAAGAGCAGGGCATCTTGACTGACAGCCCTGTTAAAGCTGCAGTTAATCAGGAAGGTGTCTAAATTAGGATGGACAGTCAGGGTAGGATAGGCTATGCTGCAGTAATCAGTAAACCCTGAAATCTCAGTGGCTTCATGCAACAAAGGTTTGTTTCTTACTCACATAAAGTCTCATGTAGATCATGTGAAACTCTCCAGGGCAGCTCTCCTCCACGAGCTGACTCAGGAATCCAGGGCGTTTATATATTATGGCTCTGCCATCTTAACCTGTGCCCTCCACAGTTGCTGCCAAAAGGAGAGAGAGGGCAGCAGGGTTGCAGGGGGTGTTTTTATTGGCCACACCTGGCTTACAGCATCTCTTCCCACATTCTGTTGGGTTGAACCCAGTTACACATTGAATCTGACTGCAAAGAAGACAGGAGATGTAACTTTTCTGGTTTCCAGGAAGAGGAAAATGAACTGGGATTTGATGAACATGAAAGTTGTCTCTGTCCTAAAAAGGTTAAATACCCAAGAAAAATTGTGGTGTTGATATGAAGATGGGGGGATAGGATGCTGGACTGGGCTTGGGGATTAATCTTCTCTCCTTCCATGCAGGCCTTGCCCACGAGTCCTGCCCAGCCAGCCTTCCACAGCCATGGCAGCCTACGGCCAGACTCAGTACAGTGCGGGGATCCAGCAGACTGCCCCCTACACAGCTTATCCACCTCCAGCACAAGCCTATGGAATCCCTTCTTACAGTGAGTACCAGATAAGCCCTTACTTTCACACTGGGATCTGCAATGTCATGGTCTTTATTCTGTCCTGTTGCCTCGGTTAAATGCAGAATGATAAGTGCAGCCAGTTTAATTTTGGATTGGAGATAGAGGAGAAGGAGGAACACTTTAAATAGGGTTCAAAATCTATAGACTATACCAAGGGCTCTTTTGGTTGTAAGAATCAGAAACCTAATCCAAGCTGATTTAGGGAAAATGGGAATTGAATGGTTTACATACTGGTAGATCTGGGGATACCACTGACATCAGGTATGGCTGGATCCAGGTGCTCAAATGACATCCTGAGGATTATGTCCCACTCCATCTTCAGATGCTTTTCTCTGAGTTGGCTTTACTCCCACATACGTTCTCCCCATGTGGTAGCAAGATGGTGGCTATCAACTCTGGGTTTGCACCCTTTCGGTTCAGCACTCCCAGTGGAAGGAGAGCACATCTCTCCCAGTAGGTTCAACAGAATCCCATATTGGCCCTCACCGAGTCATGTGACAATGCTTAGAACAAGGCAAGGAGAAGGGGATAAGGGAGACAAAGAGGCTGAAGCATATGGGTTGTATTTGGAGGGAAGATAGTATCAGAAGCAGGAGAGAGGGATGCTGGGGAGGCAAAAACAACAGACCTCCTGGCCTTGACTGTGAGCACCTTACTGCTGAGAACTGAAGGCCCAGTAAACCATGCTCACCGTCCACCATGCACCTGCCCCTGCCTGTGGCCTTTATTCATAGTATTCCCTCCCTTCTTAATGGATATATTAGCCAAAGCTCTTTCGCTAGCAAGTAATAAAAACCTAATGCTAATCAGCTTAATGAATCAAGGGAGTTTATTGTCTCCATAGCTGGAAAATCTTAGGGCACTGGCTTCAGGCAGAATTGGGTCCAGGTCCTTAAGCAGCAATTTCAAGAGTCAGCTCTGCTTCCCTCTGTGTGGGCTTCAGTCTGAGGCAGGCTTTCCCACTACGGTGGCAAAGACAGTCCTAGCGATTTCAGGCTGCAGTGCCCCCCAAAAGCACCTCTCCTGTCCAGGACTTCCCACACAGAGTCCCAGGAATTTCTCTGACTGGACTTCAATGCTTATCCCTGACCCAGACACTGGGGCAGAGAAGATGGAATGCTTTGGATGGCCATATTTGGCCACATGTCCACCCATGGAACCAGAGGTCAGGTCAGCCTCACTCGAAACAACTGATCTAAATGTGAGGAAGAGGTGGTTCACAAAGAAGGGGAGGGCGGACGGGCAGAAACCACAGACGTCCACAGCAGGTGGCTTGACAGTCCACCCAGATTCATGGCATCCAGTGGGAAGAGGGTGGGATTGGTAGACGGGAGACCTGTCTTCCAGACTCAGCTGCCCCTGACTTTTCCCACCTCAGTTTTCTCAACTATAAAATTAATACACCCATCTCATCTTCCCAACTAAATGGTGTCATTTCAGTTTCTTGACTGTTAGCCTCAGTTTGCCACAGTCCCCACCCAGCCCACATTAATCCCTTGAATTATCTGCCTCTTCCATGAAAACACTTGTGTTTACAAACTGCAGCCTAGAGGGGAAAACAGTAAACAATGTTTTGGGGTTTTTTTCTGGGTTTTTTTTGGTGGCTGGCTAGTACAGGGATCCAAACCCTTGATGTTGATGTTTAAACAAATTTTTTAATTTTTATGTATTATTTCAAATTATGATGCATGGAATAAAGGAAGAGCAGAGCTCCTAAGAGAGAAGAGAACAAGGAAGATGCTTTAGGTTCCAGGACCAGGGAAGGCCTTTTAAGCAAGGAACTCATTCAGCTGAGAAGTGGGAGATGACCACGTGCAGGCAGGGGCCGGCCTTGGGAACGGGAAGGAATTGGCAAGTCCAAGAAGACCAGTGGCTGGAGCTCGGTGGAAGATGAGGTGGGCAAGGCAGGCAGGGCCTTCGAGTCCAGGAGAGATTTGGGGTTTTATTCCAAGTGAGACGGGAAGCAATTGGAGGGTGATATGATACCATTGAGGTTTTTTAAAGATCACTTTGGTTGCTGTGGGGAGGTTGGACTGGAGGGAGGAGAAGCAGGAAAGCCCACCTGGATGGGGGAAGAGTTGAGGCCTCAGGCAAGGCCGTGGCAGTGGACAGAAGTAGACAGAGTCAAGAGCCATCCTGCGGGTAGGATTGGCAGGTCCTGTTGGGGCATCAGGTCAGGCATTAGTAATAGTTACCATTGTTGACTTCCCGTCACTCACATTGCTTTGTGTCCACTAATTCCTTTAATCCCCACCTCAACCCTATAAGGAAGGTCACATCATTATCCTCCCTTGAGGGATAAAGAAATAGAGGCTCAGAGAGGCTAAATAACTTGCCAGGGTCACCCAGCTGGCTGGTGGCAGAGGAAGAATTAAACCCAGGCAGCCTGGCCCCAGAGTCCGAGCCCTCAACCGCTGAGCTCTGCTGCCTGGGCGTGCATTCCGTAAATCCTGGGGGATTACCTGACAGACCTTGGCCAACAGGTGTGGGCATCTTTTCTAACTCTCTTTCCCTCCTGTGCTAGACTTGTGATACAATCACATGTAAGTTACCCCGCCTGGCTGACAGCCAAGAAAAATGAAGCCATATTATTTTTCACATAAAAGAGAAAACTAGCCCTGTTCCCAGACAAAACATGGCATCGGGTGGGAGTTAATTTGGTTCAAAGTTATTTTACTGTCTCGGTTACTTTCAGAGAGTCTGTTCCCGGACAATACAGCGTAGGTGATAAGAGCACGTGTCCTGGAGTTCTGCTGCCTGGTTTCACATCTCACCCCTGCCTGTCACGGTCATAAAACCTTAGGCAAGTGATCTCAGCTCCTTGAGCCTCAGTTTCCTCATTCATACAGTACTAAATCTGGCCTCGTCGTGGTTCGTGTGAGGATTAAGTAGAATCATCTACATCAGGGGTTGGCTACCTTTTTCTGTAAAGGGCTAGATAGTAAATATTTTCTACTTTGTGGGCCACACAGTCTCTATCACAACTACTGAACTCTGGCATTGTAGCATGAGAGCAGCCAGACAATATGTAAACAAATGGGTGTGCTTGTGTTCCAATAAAACTTTATTTACACAAACAGGCAGTGGGGCAGACTTGGCTGATGGGCCCTGATCTATATGAAGAGCTTAGCTCCCAGGGCCATCCCAATGGAAATGCTTCATGAAAGCCAGCTGTATCAGTACAAGCTAGGCTGCCGTGCACACTCAGAATGTCCATGTCACTGAATAATAATAGGTGGGATGAGAAGCCATGCGTTCCTCTTGACATTTGCCCGTGCCCGAGCAAGCAGTGTTTGCTCATCGTCTGGACAAACCTTGCTGAATCTTGTCAAGAAACTTTCTTCATTGCTCCTTGGCAAATAGCACTATTTGCTTTTGTTTCAATAGCTGCAGGGAAATAAAACAATCGAGCAAAAGAGAGATGGGGCATTAGGAATACTGAGTATTTTTACTCAATGTATTACACAATATTCAAGATATATATAAAAGCATAAAGAGTAATACCACAAACACCCATGCACTGACCATCCAACTTTAAAAAATAAAGGGAGGTGGCCTTCCTTTCTTCTCCGAGATGCCTGCACCCCTGATTTGACATTTATCATTCCCCTGCATTTCTTTATGTAGAAGAGGGGTCGGCAAACTTTTCCTATAAAGAAGCAGATAGTAAATATTTTTGTCTTTGCAGACCATACAGTCTCTATGGCCCTACTCAGCTCTGCCACTGTAGCGTGAAAGTAGTCATAGGCAGTACACAACTGAATAGGCGTGTCTGTGTTTCAATAAAACTTTATCTACAAAAACAGGCAGCAGATCACATTTGACCTATGGGCCATAGTTTGCTGATCCCAGATGCAGAGTATTTTAAGCATGTTTTAAAACTTTATATACATTGTATCTTTTAGTATGCATTCTTTTGCAACTTGCTTTTTCCACCCAACATTATGTCTGTAAAATTTATCCCTAATAGCGTAGCTATGGCTCACTTATCTTCACCACAGTATAATATTCTATTACTTGACCGTACCATAATTTATTTATCCTTTCTCCTTTAGATGGTCATCTAGGGTGTGGGGTTTTTGTTTGTCTCCCATTACATAGGATGCTGCAATTAACATCTGTGTGCATTTCTCAGGGGTGGAAACCCAAGAGTGGAATTTCTGGGTCAAGGGGTATATGTATCTTTCACTTTCCCAGATAACGGTAAAGCATTTCTGTTGTCCAGTGGCTGTGTAACAAGCCACCCCAAAGCTTAGTGGCTTAAAACGACACTGATTTATCATTTCTCATGGTTCTGCAGCTTGACTGGGTTGGGCTTCTGCTGCTCTTGCCTGTTCTTTCTCGGGCATTTGTGTGCAGCAGGCACGTCAGCTGGGGCTGCTGGCACAGCTGGGCCTCTCCCTCCGCGTGGCCTTTCATCGGAGGCTTCTTCACAACATGGGGGGGGTCAGGTTTCCATAGTCTCTGATGCCTACTCTGCAGAGCCCACACACCACTTCAGCCTCTTCCACCAGGCCAGGCAAGTCTCAAGTCCAACTTTGATTGTAGGTAGGGGTATGAAAGAGACCCTACCTCTTGACTAGAGGAGCTGCAAAATACTTCGCTGTGGTTTTCAGTCTGCAACAGTATATGTGAATTTCTTCAGCAAAGAAGCAGAGGTCTGCCCAAACAAAATGAATCTAATCTTTCAGCTTCCAGTGGTGGAACTGGAAACTCAGGACCAGAAGTCAGTACTCCAAACATGTGTGGACTCTCGCTGTTCATCTCATAGAACCCTTTACACCTTCCTGTGCTGCTCAGGAGAGAGGATGGGCACAGCCTGGAAGTTGCCTCTGAAATGCAAGGGCGGGACCTTCTTTCCAGATAAGTTCCTAGGGGTGGGGAGCAGTTGTTCTCCTTCTGCTCTCCTTTGCTCCCCGCTGGCTTGATTGCATTAAGTCACCAGAGCCTACAAGTATGCAATTGAAGACAGCGAG